ATGGCAACCATTATACTAAGCTTCCCTTAGACCTCATGATTTACCATCCAGAACATAGGTTAATGTTCGAAGGGGGAGGTGGATATGAATAAATAAGTATATCCTAGATTTGGAGAAAACAAACATAATTTTGAAACAAAAAAGAACATAGAAGGGCCCCTTTTACAATAGATGGTCAAGGAAACTTGACTTAGAAAGGGGCATTTAAGCTGTTCCTTAAAGAAAACTATGTGAAGAGTGCATGGTGGAAGTGGAGACAGAAGACGGAAGGGCATTCTTGGCAGAATGAAGGGCACAGGCCCCCAAATAGCAAAGGGCTTGGCATTCCAAAGAATAAAAAGACCAGGGTGGCCAGCATATATAGTGAACAAGATGGAAAGTGACATTAAATGAGTTGAGAAATGTGTGCCAAAGTTGGATTTTATTCAACATGCAAAGTGGAAAACCACTGAGGTTTTAAGGATTTCTCACATCTTGATTTGCATTTAGAAAAGTTCAAATCTGTTGCTCCATGGAGTATACACTGAAGGAAGATAAGATAGAAGCTTGAAGATCAGTTAAAAGGCTATTTGATCAGTGATGATGGCTTGGTCTTAAGTGATATAATTGGAAATGGAGTACAGTTAAGATGGTGGAGATAGAGGGTTGCCTGAGTGGTGGAGAGCATCCAACTCTCAGTTTCAGCTCAAGTCATGACCTCATGTTCATGAGTTCAAACCCCACATCGAGAATTGGGATTCTCTCCGCCTCTGTCTCTGCCCCTGTCCCCCTTAAAAATAAATAAACTTTAAAAAAATATGGTGGAGACAGAATAAATGGGACTTGATAATAAACTGAATATATCTATGACAGAGCAAGAGAAATAAAAAATAACACTAAGGTTTTTATCATTAGTTATATGATGTTTGTTGGTGCATTTGCAGATACGGATTGAGAGTTAGGCAGGTTATAAAGAAGTTAGGGCAGTCTTTTAAAGAAGACTTTCTCATTCCACTGAGTTGGCTGTGATGTAATCTAATGTACATGTCAAGAATGCAATACCAAATGTGAATCCCAAGACCTGAATTGTAGATCTGACTTGAGGTTTGTATTTGTAAGTCATCATCATGAAAGAGCTCACTCAGAAAGAGAGAAGTAGGCCCAGGACTGAACTTGAATGTATCACAATAACTAGAAATCAGAAAGAGGAACAGAACTCATCATGGCATCTGCTGAGGATAAGACAACGAAGGTCAAGAAAGAACAGTAGGTAATGGTGTTTTGAAAACTGGCAAAATATAAGGATTGGAGGAGAGGCTAACCATATTTAATGCTGATGAGAAATCACATTAGATGAGAAATAAGTGATGGTATAAGATCTGGCAATATGGATATCATTGGCAAGAAGATTCAAGAATAATGTTTAAAAAGTTTCAAGAGCCCTGCATATCTCTTAAGATAAAGTTAAATCTCCTGGAACCACAAAACCTAGCAGAGCTTGGCTATCATCTCCCTCTGACAATTCATGTTTGTTGTTGTTTTCTTTCTTTTTTATCTCTTCTTTTTATTTAAATTGAGATATAATTATTATATAACATTGTGTAAATTTAAGGTGTACAATGTATGGATTTGATACATTTATATATGGCAACATTCCCAGCTCCAGCCTCTGTTTATGCCAGCCACACTTGCCTTTTTCTGTTTCTTGAACAAACTATCCTTTAAATATATGATTCTTTCTGCCCAGAATGCTCTTTTTTTTTATCTGCATGCCCACTTAACTTCCATTATTTTTCAGGTCTACCTTTATTGATTTTATTTCAGGCAAACTTCACCTCACATATGGACCAAATACTCTCTTATATCCTCAAATCATAACATCACGTACTTCCTGTGTGCTAAAGTTGTCATGGTGATTAATTAATTAATTATTGTCTCTTCTACCAAAGTATAGATTCCATCAGAGCAGGCAATGTGTCTGTTCTTGCTCACCAGTCTTTCTTCACATTACAAAAAATAACTGTTATACGTTAGGAAATCATTATGTATTTGTTGAATACATGAATGGATAATGTCTGCCTCTGGAGTCAATCTCATGTAATCTGTTTCTATCTCCACATAATGTTATAATATGACTAAAATATCTGGAAAATAATGATTGATTCAAATAAAGTGCTATTTACTTATTTAATATGACAGATTTATATATCTATAATAAATTAATGAGCTGTGATTATTTTGAAATTTAATTGATCAAACTTCGAGATTGTTCTGGATACACACTATTTCAACCACTCAGGAAAGTACGATGCTCTTTACTACATATACATTTTTCTAAACTGTATTTATTTATTTTGAAAGAGACAGAGCAAGAGGAGGAGGGGCAGAGAGAGTCAGAGACAGAGAATCTCAAGCAGGCTTTGTGCTGCCAGTGAAGAGCCAGATGCAAGGCTCGACCTCATGAAACTGTGAGATCATTTATATATATGTGTGTGTGTGTGTGTGTGTGTGTGTGTAAATTTATCAGCAGCCTACCCACTTTCTCTCTCAAAATCAAGACAGTGGATTACTTCAGTTTGTCACAAATAGTCTTATTTCTATGAGAGTTTGGTGCTGCCTTCCTAGGGTCTGGATGCTAGGTTCATACGTGATAAAGCAGAGATTTCTTCAATGTTCTGTGGAAAGGCCAGCTACTAACCAGGCTCCTGCCTAGATCATCCAGTTTAATACTGTCCACTGTCCAAAAGTCAAAAGGGAACTATGGTCTTTCCCCCAGCAAACTTCTAGGGTCTTCCTTCTTGTCTCCTTCCTGACAGTTTGTATCAACCTTCTAGTTCACTATTGCCTTCATTCTGAGGATATCTGAATTGAGTGCATATTTATCCTTTGCTATCTGTCTACATTAGGCTCTATTTCTTTATAACTTTGTAATATACAATATAAATTTTGCTACCCCAAATCAGACTTCCTGTAGATACTAAACTCAACTTTAACACATTAGAGCAAACACATACAATTCAATTCATATATTATTAATTAATTTCAGTATTTCTTGGGTAGAATCTTTCTACCCACTAGTGTGAAATGGAGTTGAGTCTCCTAAGTTTTACTATTTCTTCGAATCTCATGATCTGCAAAGCCCTTTCAAAGGTATCTCTTTAATGGTTTAAATCCTTCCTATCTTTAGCTTGTTATAGAGTATATTTCTTATACTTAACTCCCTTGAATGTCATGTACTTTATTCCTGGCCTCTAGGTTTGGCAAATATTCCGCCACAATAGCAAGCAAGTATTTGCTTAAAGATATTTAAAGCTAACCCCCGGATAGTTTTCCATTGCAAATGTATTTGAAGAAATAGGCTCTGTAGCTGAGTACTTACATTTGTGACTCCCTGACACATAGTTTTCATTAGACTTAGCTACTGAAGAGTGATCCTTATATTCACAGCTATTTTATTTAGGAAGACATTTGCAAAAAGAGGACAGCATCATTTATTTTTATCGAATCAATGTTCTATATTTTAGAGGTTAAAAATAATGAAAATACATAGTGAAAAGGATTGGGGAAAGAAGTGAGAAAAAGGAAGGATAGTAAAGCAGGAAAGGAAAGGAACATGAAATTTGGGGGAGGCTCAAAACATCCTTTGTCTACTGAGCTGTGAGAACCTGGGCAAATCACCTAACCTCTCTGAACTTTATGGGTCAAATGGAGAATAATAACATTATCTGTCTGCAGTGTCGCTGTCCAAGTTAGATTATGCAGCTAAAGTGCTAAGCACATTCCTGGCCCTGGTAACACCCCTGTAAGTTAGTAATGAACTTAATAATAAAACCAAAATCATACCAACAATCTCATTGTAACGGGATTTTTTTTTAAATCAGAGTATAATGAGATGTTATTACTCAGAATTTCAGATGTGGGATTATTTTTATTTGCTTAAAGGGGAGGTGTGCAAATTTGGCTCTGTAGTTCCCAGCAGTCAACATAAGAGTGAGACAAATAAGTTTGTAAATATGAAAAGTTTTATTCACTTAAACACAAGAACCCTGCAGTGGTGCTTTCTAACCGAGGATTGCAGAGTTACCACAAGGGTACTGTTTGTCTGTAAGTCCCTTATGTATTCTCTATGGTTCCAATAATAATCCTAGTGTACATTTGCACTCTCCTTTTTAGATGAGCCAGATATTGTGATAATGATGTCAGTTTATTTAATTGTATCACAGGGTTCACAGCAGCTTTTTACCAGTATGCATTTTCCTAATCAATGGACTTATGAAGAACATCATCAGAATCAGGAAAGTGCTGTATATTAAATTGTTCTCTTTTAATCAGAAAAATTGTGAAAGTATTGACAAAGGGGGAAAAAAGGTTCACTTCTGTTTAAAAGAAAACAGCTCTCAATTTTATTATTCTTGTTTCCCTCATCAACAGCACCAAGAATCTCCAAAGTCACAAAAAGCATTCCTTTATGGAAGCAGGAAGTGACCTTCTGATTCCATTTCTCACACCATGAAGAGCTCTGTGAAAAATTTGGGGCAAACCTGTTCAGCTTTCTGAGAGTGCATTTGCATAGAAAATGGGTTTGACTGCTAAAACTGTCCTATTGGTGAAGTTTGAATGCCTGTCTGGTAAATGACACTGATAAGTTATTCATCTGGTCATTTTGAATCAAATATAGGTATTTTTACTAATTCAATCAGTGTGTCATCTTGCCAACCCCCATTTTGTTACACCCATCCTGGGTCTGTTTTATTCTCTCTTAGGTAAGAGAATTATTGATTATTTCGGGGTGGGGATATTCTTTTTTTAAGTTGTAATGAAAATTGTGAGGGAGTATTATTTGGATGCTTAAATAAACATCTTTCTTAAGGAAAAAAAATCTTTTCAAAGCCCTAGTAACTAATTCAAGTAATTAGTTACTTGAATTAAGGAAGTGAGATGCTTTTGCACTGACTTTGAACAACTTTCTTGACTTCCTGCAAAGAAGATCCTTTACAGTATTTTTGGAGAAGTTAGTAAAACCGAATCTGACATCACTACCTAGCAGTTTGTGTAGCTAGCAAAGTGGTTTGTTCTTAGGGTAACAGAGGAGGAAATTGCTCCGTCTGATAAGACAACAGCAAGGAGTATGCATTCATTTCTTTTATTTTTGATTCCGTTTCGCAAAGAAAAACTTTTGCAAAGATAACAATTATTTTGCCTTTCAGAAGGACGCATGCTGTTTCCTAGGAATACGGCTGATTTCCAGATATGACCATGTTCTTGTGGCTTAAACTTTTGGCATTTGGCTTTGCCTTTCTGGATACAGGCTTGTTTGTTACAGGTAAGTACAAGTATATTAATATGTCCTTAGTGATTTTTTTTTCCTTGCGGAGGGATATTGGTTTGAAATAGACATAAAAATAGTTAAGTGTTGGTGACTGGAAATGAGGAAGCTCACTAGAAAATGGTCAAGGCTACTGGAGCTCAGAGAGACCTGACTTGCTATGTGACAGAATACATTGTTTCTGTTTAAAAAGGAGTAAATGTTTGGGGGAAAAATCACAATTTAAAAGAAACTTGTCTATCTGTATCTTTGTTTGCAAAGTGTTCTAGGATACTACAAAAGCAATGCTGTTACTTAACCCTCAAGTACGTAAACATAAGTTTATGAAAATCTGAGGAAATCTTTATGACAAAATAAGTGAATTTTCACCCTTTTAGCAGAAAATGACTTTTTTGAGTCCTACTATAGCTTTGGTTGCATGTAAGCCACTCTTTCATTTTGAATTGGACTTTGCTTCCTCAAATTTTGATTATTACTGAAAAATTTTATTGAATACTTATCTGTAGGATAGTTTAAAATAATACATTTGGGAATTTAGTAAAATATTATTTTTATTCACATTCTTAGCACAGAATGTATTTTAAATCAAGTTTTTGGTTTCTTCTCAATAGTTTTAATGATTACTTGCTTTGGAAATTCTTATGCGGCCACCGCCCTTCCTGGGTGATGGGTAAATATCAGAGCCTTGCTGAAGTTAAAATACTCTTAAGAATCATGCAAATGCTGTCTTTGGTAGGAAAATGGAATGGGAATCTCAAGTACTCATTTAAGTTGGAGATCTTTGTATACTTGCTCTTTAATGGACATTTCTTGAAGAGTTTCAATTTGAATCATGAGTGCATTTCAGTTGATTGTTAAACATAGCTAATATATTGATATTAAATATTACTCCTTATGATGTAGTATCTAAAGGTTGTTTTTCACCATTGAGGGGACACTGAAAGTGAGATTTTTGCAGAAATCCCAAAGAAGTTTTAAAAAAAGGAAAAAGAAAGAAAAGTCTCACTTACTGGAATTCATTGAAATCTGTTTTTGACTTTTCACCACCCTTCTTTCCTATAAAAGGCAGGGGGGTAGCTACCTCCTGATCTTGTTACCTCATCTATTGGTATTTTGTATAATTAGGGAGAGTGGAAAGCAGCATAAGATAGTGTTTTGTTTTTAACTGTAAAGACGGTCTAAAATTTTTTGTATGGATACAGCATTTTGTTTTAGTATGGAAAATGTTTATCAAGTTACCTTCCCCGTAAAGTTAGCTATCATAATCAAAAGCAAACTGTAATGAAAAATGATTTTAGCAGGGTGGTAATATGTATATTATCATAAGTCAGAATGAATATTCATTAAAAATCCTCACTCAAGAGTGGTCGCAAAGCATTTAAATGAGCATAAAGAAAACTGAAATATTTTGTAGGACACAGAGCAAACCACTATAAAATTTCAACTCAGTCTATTAAGGATTTTTACCAAAAAAATGCCTTTGAATATGGCCAAATTAAGAAAATATAAAATTATCTAGAAACTTTTAAATCTATTGTGCTGAACAATTTGTACTTAAACAAATGAAAAGATATGCATAGATTTATTTTTGAAGGATCAAATTTAACTTTAATTGCTTATGTAAATATTGAGAGCAAATTTTTCTAAAAGGCACTGATATCTTCCTGAAATCCATACTTACTTTTTGGAAAAAATACATAGATATAATCATCTGTGTCTGCATATCTAATTTATCATCCTTTAAAGATCTGAGAGTCATTTTGTCATTCAGTGTATGATTTGAGAAGTTACTAATGTTTTAAATTACATATTTTTCTTTACTAGCAACAAATGAGTTTATGTTTTATTTTGATGTGTTAAAATTGAGTTTAGGGATCATAGGAAATACTAGGATTTTAGGCATCACATTTATATTGTATACTCTAATGGAATAAAAAATAGAGCCAATGTAGAGAGACATCAATTAATGGACAAATTCAGATAAGTTATTTAATATCTAAAATACAAATACAGTTAAACTTGGCCGCGGCAACAATGTTGGGGTGAGTTTTACACAAAAGTTTGCAATCCCTTTGCTCCGTGCCTCTTTGCCATGAGAGCTGGAAACCAAACGTCTGTTGAACATTTCTAAATAATTCTAGCAGATAATGATGGCTTTGAGAATGCAGATAAAGACAAGTGTTCTCTGACTCTAAACCAGGTGTAATGCCAGCCAAATCTATCACTCTGTACCATACCAGCTAGAGTATATGACTTATGTTATGTGAGTTATGAGTCATATGAGTTTAGAGTCATTTCCTGGTCATAATTTTTCATTTTTCCATCCACATTAAAAGAAATATTTCATGTTACATGCGTACTATGCCTTGAACATCACAGGTTTTCAATACAAATTATGAATTGAAATTTGAGCAATCCTATTAAGTTCTAAATACTCCACAATTTAGAGATTGGGGCATATGAATATTATCTTTTATGAACTTTTTAATAGATATTTTTCTTACAAAATCTGCCTGTGATCCTTATCATTGCTAGAATTCGAAATATATTTTGTAAGAGAAAGGGTAAGATGGACTTAGGAGTCTGTCTTTCCTTTTCCTCCCTTGCTTTCTATAGCTAAATAGAGGGTTAGAGTGTGTTGCTTGAGCTAGGTCTTTTCTCTTTTCTGGGCAATTTCATATACTTGAACCAGTGACAATTAGCTAGTATAGTAATATAGATATTTCTACACTCTTCATATAAATACACATATATAGATACACACATATATATCTAGCTTTAATATATGAGTTATAATACACACATATATCTATTTATTTATCTTCTGGTTCTTCATATTTGTCTACTTTTATTTTTTTATTTTTGATGTTTTTATTTATTTCTGAGAGAGAGAGAGACAGACAGTGTGAGCTGGGGAGGGTCAGAGAGAGAGGGAGAAAGAATCTGAAGCAGGCTCCAGGCTCTGAGCTGGCTGTCAGCACAGAGCCCGACGAGGGGCTCGAATCCACGAACCGTGAGATCATATCCTGAGCCGAAGTTGGACGCTTAATAGACTGAGCCACCCAGGCGCCCCTGTCTACTTTCAAATATTGGGGTTCTGTGGGCTTTAATTCTTGGCCAGTTGTATTCTTATTTTCTATAATTAGAGTTCCTTATCGTCACCTCCTATGTGTTGATGATCCCGATTTCTCATCTCCAGACTCATTCCTTTGAGTGTAAAACAAAATCTGAAACATATATTTAAAAGCTCCTCAAGTCTTGTCATTTTAATTTTTAATAGTCTCTAAAATATTTCCCCTTCTTCAATTCCATCGGATTGCCTTAATTCATGCCTTTATCATTTTCTGCCTAGAATATTATTATAGTTTCCTAATCTATCTCCGGTCTCATCCATTTCTTTCCATATTCTGCACCTTAATATCAAAGGAAAAAAACCCTCTGATATCATCTTGTTGTGTTTGGTATATGCGCTAAACTCCTTGCCTGAGTGACCGGGTCCACCACTGGGCTAGGAGCTGGGCAGAGACTGTTTTGTCTTTTTTTTCTTGTGTGATTCATTAAAATAGAACCTGCAGCAGGCAGTTTCAACACTGGCTTGGCTCGTCTACACTTCCTCAGGACCTCTAATTCTCTGTGATAGTCCTATTTCTCTTCTGTCACTCATGCCACAAAATATCTCCACTGAAATTGTACACGTTTTACCACCTTTCCGTGGCGTTTTTCACCTACTAATTCAATTTGTTGCTGGTGGTGGTAATTAGCATTTACCAATCAGTGCATTTACTTCCACTGTAACCTGTGTGATGGCAGAAACTATGTCTTATGCCTTTTTCGGTATCATCTGTACCTGATTTCTTACCAGACATTGAAAAAATAATGGACACTTTTTTGACAAAACTTAAGATTATAATAATGGAGGTGAAGGAGGACAAGTACAAAGAATTTCAGAAAGAGAGAACAGGAAAGAGACAAATATGAGATGAAAAAATTAGCCAAAGGCTAAGTGGAAAGATAGATAATATCATCAAGATTAAATAAAATAATTTTGGATCTGGATCTTTATAGGCTTTGCCTTTTTAAAAATGTAGTTCATTATTATTATTTTGCTATTTCCTTCTTTCATCTCCTTTTTTCCCCTCTTATTTGAAAGACCATCCTAACTTCTTAAAAATCTTAGCTCATAAATGTTATTACTAAATTTTACTTGGCCTACTCTTTGGGCATTTTGCTAATGGCATTTCATTTGATGGGTTAGTTTTGTTCTTCAAATACAGATGCCTACAGGAAGAAAAGTAAGCAGGGGCATACTCATCAATGGGGACAAGACAAATGGAATCAGATCCAGTCCTTGCAAATACAGGCATGGACACTGGTAGTGCTGTGGGACTGTTTTCAAGGGTGGATGGAAGATGGTATTGCATTGTGTACACACAGAAAATTTGTAGAGAGCCTGGGTATCATTTCTTCTTTGATAATGTGATAACCAATGTCAATTTGAGTAGGTAAGAAGCAGAGATTTATGGTCAGGTTGATTAATTTTGTTGGTGAAAGCACAGTGTTAACACAGATAAGGTTTTCTGTTCAGATCATGTAATGTAAGTCATTTTGGTGCAGCGAAAGGAATTTGTTATCACCACAGACCTTTGATCTTTTATCAGTCATCTTGTAAATTTTTGGGACTATTTACACAGGAGAAATGGAAATGGAGCTAAATCTCAGTTTAAGCTTAATTTCAGTCTAGTCTTAATAGCTTTGTTTCTAGATATCCAATCACATACTATTTACCAATTACTTGGTATGATATGATTTTTATATACATAAGGATATAAGACTCTAGAGAAGGATGAAGAAAAAGTAAAATATTGCAGGCTATTCATTTAGCCATATGATGTCATCTATTTCTACATAACACTGAAATATATAGACATATTTTGTATACATGGCCATAGCCAATATTTAGATAAGAAAATATCTAATCATTGCCTAAAATTTTTAAT